ATATATATATATATAATAAAATTTGTTTTGTCAAAATATAATTATCATATAATTAAAATGACACAAACAAAATATAATTTTAAAATACATATATATTTTCGAAATACATATATATATAAAATTATCACAACTATATATTTAATATTACTCCCACTAGTGTAGTATACTACTCCCTTACAAGTCCTAAGTGTGTGACTCTTTAGGTATCCATAACACTGGCAATGATATTAATATAAATTAATACCATAGATAATAAGCGGTATCTAGCAACACATTATTATCCCCAGATTATGAAAAAGACGTTCATCTCATCAATACCTTCTACGACACAAGACATTCTATAACTATTATCCTTCTGTCCTAAATGTCATGATATAACACTAGGCATGGGATGTGTATCCTTGTATAGTTAAATCAGCTGTTACTGAATCTCAAGTAGACTGGCAGGGATCAGATATTTATCAGTTTCTAGATAGTGACATATCTGGGCATGGCCATGCACTTTCCCAAGTCCTACTATTCAGTGGGCCCATTGACATTATACTTCTATACAGTAGAAGGGACAGATCCTGTATCTGTTATTCACATCTCTAAATATGCTTAGCGGCATACCCAACGCATAACTGTACGTCTACCAGTATTTCAGATAGCATTAGTTATGAATCAAAGCATACGGCCCCACATATCAGAGAATGTAATAACTTCAAGTCTGAGGATAGTTATAGCAAGGTCGATTTGAGAATACGGATAAACACATTACTGTAGATACATGCAGTATTCTCAAGATGGGTCAATCCAGTCACATATTATCAATATAATATGCACCTACGTACAGATTAAGATATCACAATACCTATAGTCTATGAGACGCAACTATCTCATCTCGTACGTACTAGTCTTGATACGTTATGACGTCCGTATTATCATAAAGTGCGACTAGGGATATTCTAGACACAGCCTTCGTCAAGAAGTAACAGTCTCATAATCAGAACATCGTAGTCCTCATCTATGTTACTGAAGCGCTATTGTCTATGGACTGAAGCTATGTTATGTTACACGAGATATAAAACATACTTCAAGGCCTTTTATTCATGATAAAGTGTACAGTTACATAGGTATTTGATTGCCGCTAGGGCACCTAAATACAACATGATTATGAATCGAGATTCAATTTATGTGGATGTTCGACGCTTTAGATATGCTTACTCAGCTTCACCACTGAGCGTGTAGTGTGTTTTATTTGCTACACGCAGGTAGGCAGAATGAATGATTGGCTGATTCCTGGCAACAGAAGGGGCGAGACAGTCGTGGTAGATTATTGAATGAAATAAATAGTTATGTTGTTATGAGACATGTTTTAAAGTCGCTTCCGCATTTTATTTAAACACTCCGTATTTCTCTACAATTATGTATGGAATATTATTTATAAATAAAAATGTTTGAAATGTTTTAAATTATCACGATTACCAAATCAATACTTTAGTCCGAAAGGGGCTGCAGACCTGGACGGATTAGGGTGTTACAGCCAAAGCTATACTACGCCAATACTTTAGTCCGAAAGGGGCTATATCTCCCTGGTTCCAGCAATCACTTAAGCCGATGACTTCTAGCCCATTGGTTTTCATCATCCACGTCCTACCCTTATGATTGTGAGCCCATCCTTGCACCAAGCCGATGATGTTGGCATATATTAATTTGAGATTGATCCGTTCCCCACCGTAAGTGCTAGCCGTGTAAGTTTTCCAAATGGACCAGGTAATGAATCCTGGCATGCATGATCGAAGGATACCTTTGAAGTTCCTCTTGGTTGAAGAAAACAACCATCCCTCCATGCAGGGCCTTCCATGCAGCTAGCAAAGTGGTTCCAAATATTTCGGATTTCCATACAATGTAGAAGGCAATGATCTGCACTCTCGCAATCCTTCATGCAGAAAACAGACCTGGATGGGATTTGGAACTGAAGTTTGCGCAGATTTTCAGGGAAAGCACAGCAAGCATTGAGGAGTTTCCATTGGAAAAGATGTATCTTTCAAGGTAAGAGGTTATTCCAAATGAAGGTTGCGGCCATTACATTAGGATTATTATTCCGGGCTAGGTTGTATGCGTCCTTCATGGAGAAATGAGAGCTGGAGAGAATGTGGAGTCCCCATCGTTTATCCTTCCATTAGCCCTGCAGATTCTCTTCTAAGTGGGTGAGTCTTGGAGGTTAGCTTTCAAAAGCCCTCGGTTGGAAATGTATTTGGCCTTGATAAAGGAAGTCCAAAGATTCTCCACGTTTTTAACTTTCCACAACAGTTTGGTAGAGTAAGCCTACATTAGCAAGGTTTCTAATCCCAAGTCCCCCCTCACTTTTGGATTTACACAAGTAGTCCCAACTTTTCCAGTGTCTCTTAGACTTCCTATTGGTGTATCCCCAAAAGAAATTATTCATTTTGTATTGTAAAAGTATTGGTAACCGATTTGGGAAGCTCACTACCTGCCATGTGATGTAAAGGGATTGAGGAGAGAACGTGCTTGATTGAGATAAGTCTTCCCATTGGATTAAGTATTTTGGAGTACCTAGAAGAAAGCATCCTGTCAAAATGGGTTATAATCGGTTGGAAATTCTCCTTCCTAAGAATGCCCTTAGTAATATTTCCTCCAAGATAAGTGAAGGGAAGATTCCCACCCTTCATGTTTAATGCCTTTTCAATTTGCATGCACTTTTGAAGAGGATTCTTTGGACTGACAAAAAACTTAATTTTCTGCTAGTTAATTGCTTGACGTGAAGCTTGAAGATAATCCTTAATGATGGACATGAAACGAAGCCGATTTCTTGTTTTGGCATTAAGAAAAACCACCAGATCGTCAGCATATCCCAAGTGGGTGATGATAGGCCCCCTACCACTGTTAAAAGGCTTGATGAATTTTGTTTGAATTCCATGCTGAATACCCCTGCTCAAGGCCTCACTGCCCAGGATGAATAGCAATGGGGAGAGAGGGTCCCCTTGCTTCACGCCTCTCTTCATACGGAAATATCCCTTTGGCTTTCCATTAATCTGAATAGACATCTTTGTTGCTTGAAGATTACCCAATAGAAGATTGGTTACAAAGTTGTTGAAACCCATTTTTAGCAAAACAGCTTGAAGGAAAGACTAGCTTAGACTGTCAAAAGCATTTGCCATGTCAATCTTGATGATGATGTTTCCCCCTTCAACCTTTCTTTGTAGTTGATAAGCCATTTCTTGTGCCAAAAGGATTTGATCATCTACTGATTTCCCTTTTTGAAAACCTACTTGTTCAGGCCTAATAAGTTTATGCACCAGTGTGCTCAGTCTGGTGGCTAGGATACCTGTATTAATCTTTCTCATGAAGGTGGACATGGAGATGGGCTTGTAATCTTTCCATTTTATGGGAGTGTCAACCTTAGGGATAAGGGTGATTATAGTGCTGCCATAGCTCGGAGGGACTTTAACACTAATGAAAAATTCATGACATGCTTGGAGAAGATCGTGTTGGATGATATCGCAACACCCTCTCAAGAATCTACCATTGAAACCATCTGCCCCT